GATCAGCTGCAGACAAGAACAGAGTTTTTGTTTGTTTGTTTGTTTTAGTTTTATTTTATTAAAACAGAGTTTTTAATAGAAATTTTAAAACAAAGAGGATCAAGATCTGCAGCACTTTTTAAAAGATTCCTAACAGGAGATGAAACATGGTTTTACCAGTATGATCCTAAAGACAAGGCATAATCAAAGCTATGGCTATAAAGAGTTGCAAGTGATCCAAATCAAAGCAGAAGCAGATCAGTCAAGAGCAAAAGTCATGGCAACCTTTTTTTGGGATGCTCATTTTTCTTGTTGACTTTCCGAAGTGCCAAAAACAATAGTATCTGCTTATTATGAGAGTGTTTTGAGAAAGTTAGCCAAAGCTTTAGCAGAAAAACACCAGGGAAAGCTTCACCAGAGAGTTTTCTCCACGATGGTAATGCTCATGCTCATCCCTCTCATCAAACAAGGGCAATGTTGTGAGTTTCGATGGGAAACCATTAGGTGTCTACATTACAGTCTTGATTTGGCTCCTTGTGACCTCTTTTTGTTTTCTAATCTTAAAAAATCTTTGAAGGGCACCCATATTTCTTCAGTTGATAATGTAGAAAAGACTGCATTGACATGGTTAAATTCCCAGAACCCTCAGTTCTTTAGGAATGGACTAAGTGGCTGGTATCATCACTTACAAAAGTGTCTTGAACTTAATGGACTTTATGTTGAGAAATAAAGTTTATATATATTTTTATATATATATATGTATATGTATGTGTGTGTGTGTGTGTGTANTAATCCTTAAAAAAACTCAGTATATAGACCAAATATTTCATTTGTTTTTTTAAATGTTAGCAGGGTTAAATATTTTTTCACATTTTATTTTCAAAGTAATTTCATTTTGTGAATTGCCCCTTTTTTATCTCTTGATTGGGAATGTTTCTATTGACACTCAGGTTTTAAAAATTAACTTCTATATTTCTAAATTTAAAACATTATTTAACTATAGAACATTCCCCTTTACTGAAATGATAAATATTAAATTCTATTATTATTATTATTTATTCCATAATTTAATTTTTCACTATTCAATTTTTAAATCTATCTCAGACTTGTTTTTCAAATTTCAATCAGTGGCTTAATAGCAGTTATTAAATAAACATTTATGTTATGATTAAATTTTTATTATGTGAAATTTGTATGAAGAATAGGCCTTATATTAAGATTATATATTCAGTTACAGTGATTTATATATCTGCTGTTGAGACAGTACAACATTATCGTTATTATTATTGCTATATAAAATATTTTAATTTGGATGGAGAGTTAGTAATTTCCTCATTAATCTTTTTTCATATTATCTTGATAATTCTTCATGTTTATTCTTATAGGTGAAATATACAATAATTTTTAAGCATAATTTTAATATTCTTAGTCTGAACTTATACATTGGATATCAAATATGGCAGTTACAAGGATTTCTTAATATTCCAGGCAGAATGCATACAACAGTTTCCAAATACATATATAGCTATTTCATAAAGGAAAAGTAAAGTTCTCACAATTGCTCATAAAAATCTAGCTAGCTCACCTGTCAATCCTGGAGCAAGAGAATCTTTATGTGGAGGTACATACTTTCTAGTATTCCATCTGAATTTTTTCTCATTAATCGGAGTTTGAATAATCATTACTTTTGTGAAATCTTCAGTTCCTTGTATCTGAAAGTTGACAGAATGCAAGTTAATTTCTGAGCAAATATAACAGAATTTAAATGTTTCTCTGGCAAGCTACTATTTCAGGCCTGCTTTAAATATCTGGGAGAAAATTGAAAATATCAATAAATCACCACAGGTAAGATATCTTAAAATACCTGGATATGTTGGTTTTGTGAAAGTCAATATTCCATACAAGGGGTCTTCAAAAAGTTCAAGGAAAATGCATATTATGAAGAAAACTATACATGGATTTCAAANGTGTGTGTGTGTGTGTGTATATATATATATATATACACACACACACACACACATACATATACATATATATATATATTTTTTTGTTGTTGTTGTTTTTGACCAGTAAGGGGACTGCAACCCTTCGCATGGTGTGGTCTGCACTGGCCGTCCCTATACAGGATCCGAACCCGCGGCCTCGGCGCTACCAGCACCGCACTCTCCCAAGTGAGCCATGGGGCCGGCCCTAAAGTTTATATTTTTAAATTCCGTTCTTCCATGAACTTTTTGAAATCCCTTCATGTACTTTTATTGATGTTTTAATATTTTGTTCATTTCTCATTGAAATGAGAAAAATAATTAAGAGTTAATCATCAGTAGCCCCTTCAAAACTCACTGAGAGTTTTTCTATATGACAGAAAGTTTAAAAAACAATGAATTTTAAAAAATCATTCCACCTTGTAGTGTTTTAAATATGCTTTGAATCACATGAGTACCCAAATCCTCAGTGAGCAAGGCTCCATATCTAGGGAAGTAGATAGAGTTGGGCAGGCTTCAGGCTGCCTTGAGAATCTCTTGCTCACTGATTCAATTCTCAACCAGCACTCACATCAAAGGCCTGTTTTGTATTCAAGAAAAGTGGTAGCAAGCACCACAGTGAAGAATGCTTCACTTCCTCTCATTGGGCATCACACGGGTGCTG